CCTGAGCCAAAGTTGGAGCCACCTAAGCACCCCAGAGCTGGTGGTTTTTATTTTATTTTTTTTTTAATTTTTTTTAACGTTTATTTATTTTTGAGACAGAGAGAGACAGAGCATGAATGTGGGAGGGTCAGAGAGAGAGGGAGACACAGAATCTGAAGCAGGCTCCAGGCTCCGAGCTGTCAGCACAGAGCCCGACGCGGGGCTTGAACTCACGGACGTGAGATCATGACCTGTGCCGAAGTCAGCCGCTCAACCGACTGAGCCACCCAGGCGCCCCGAGCTGGTGGTTTTTAAAAATACTATTTTCTTGGGATGCCTGGGTGGCTCAGGCGGTTAAGCTTCCAACTCTTGATCTCAGGATGGTGAGTTCAAGCCTCACGTTGGGCTCTGTGCTGCGTGTGAAGCCTACTTAAAATAAAAACAAAAAATTTTCTTTTGTGTTTGAGACCTTTTGGCTGCAAGATAACTTATACATCTGCAGTTATGGTTGCATTGAAGGAAAGAGAAAGAAGGGACTGTACTAGTGTATCTGTGGCCCTTTGTGAGAAACAAAAAGTTTTCCCAGAACTGCCCCTGTCCTGCCCCCCACCGGTATGTTTTCATTAATGAGCACCGGCCAGAACCGAGATGCTCAACCGAATGAGCCACCCAGGTGCCCCTAGCTACAGACACGTTTGAGAAAACAATTATTGGTCTTGTTGCCTCATCAAATACCCAGCCAGCTTCTCTTGGTAATGAAGAAGGGAGAAATGGATATTGAGTATATAACTATAATGTTTGCCCCATTCTCTAACATATTACCTGGAAATTTAAATTTTCTGCAGTAAAGGTTTTAGTTTGCAAATGGATGCTTTATAAATTTGTTAATAATCTCCTGTCTTTGGTTTGCTTCTGGTTATTTTCAGTAGCAGTGTACATATTCTAATTTTCTGGTGGATGAAGTGGTATCAGCTCAACTCCATGGGAGAGAGAAGGTTCAGGGCTCCTTTAATCTTTAAGACTTGAATCTAACAGCTTAGGGTACCTGTTAACATGCTTAGTGCTGCCACAAAATGTAATGTGAATACTGAAGAATTCTATAACATTTTTCCTTTTTTACCCTTGGGTTGTTTACTGGCTCCATAGGGAGAAAAAAAAAAAAACCTTATGCATGAAATAATTCGCTAATAGTAAAGAATTCAGAATTATTTCGTTAATTGTTTAGCACATTGAGTGGTATAAGATTAGAAACTTTTTTCTTTTTTCTTAATTTTTTTTTTAGTTTGTTTATTGAGAGAGAGAGAGAGAGAGAGAGAGAGAGAGAGAGAGTAGGAGAGGGACAGAGAGAGAGAGAGAGAGAGAGAGAGAGAGAGAGAGTCCCAAGCAGGCTCCATGGTGTCGGCACAAAGCCTGACGCAGGGCCTAAACTCATTAACTGAGCTCATGACCTGAGCTGAAACCAAGAGTCGGATGCTTAACTGACTGAGCCACCCAGGCTCCCCTAGAAACAATTTTTCTTTAGGGCCATTGATAGAAGCCTGGGATGAATAAAATGAAAGCCAAGTAGAAGCTCTAGTAACTGTTACAGGGCTGTATCAACACTAACATAAGAAGCAGTAAGAAAAATAAATGGGGAATACATTCCATTTTATGTTATACATACTAGCTCTTGAAAATGTGTCCATATGTAAGAACCATATAATTTATTATATGACCAAGACACAAATTAGAATATACCTTAGACACACATACACCCCCCAAAAATAATCTTTAATTTTTTTAACATAGTTAAATATGGTTCCGGGTTTGCTTTTCTATCTTTCTGGTAAAGCACAAACCTGAAATTTGAGATGCCTACTTAAGAAATCAGGTTTAACTAGAAAAAGACACTACTAGAAAACTATATGCCAGTATATCCCTGATAAATAATTTGTGTCTGTTTTGAGATAATTTTTTTTAAGTTAAATACATTAGATGTCCCCCCCAAATTTTTATTTAAATTCTAGCTAGTTAACATATAGTATAATGCTGGTTTCAGGAGTAGAATTTAGTGATTCATCATTTACATATAACACCTAGTGCTCATCACAAGTGCCCTCCTTAATACCCATCACCCATTTAGCCCATCCACTACCCACCTTCCTCCATCAACCCTCAGTTTGTTTGCTCTATTGTTAAAAGTCTCTTATGGCTTGCTTTTCTCCCTTTTTCCCCCCCTTCCTATGTATTCATCTGTTTTGTTTCCTAAATCCCACATGAGTGAAATCACGTGAGCCCGATGTGGGGCTCGTGAGTTCATGACCTGAGCGGAAGTTGGAGGCTCAACCAACTGAGCCACCCAGGCGCCTCAGGATTTCATTCTTTTTGATGGCCAAGTTAGATTTATTTATTTATTTTAATTTTTTTAACGTTTATTTATTTTTGAGAGAGAGACAGAGCACGTGCATGGGAGGGGCAGAGAGAGAAGGAGACAGAATCTGAAGCAGGCTCCAGGCTCTGAGCTGTCAGCATAGAGCCCAATGGAGGGCTCAAACTCACAAACTGTGAGGTCATGACCTGAGCCGAAGTCGGAGGCTTAACCGACTGAGCCACCCAGGCACCCCAGATTTATTTTTTAAAGATTTTATTTTTAAGTAATCTCTACACAATTTGGGGCTCAAACTCACAACCTTGAGATCAAGAGTAGTGTGCTCTTCCCACCGAGATAGCCGGGCTTCCCCCCCCCCCCCAGATTTTTTAATTTAAGGACTTTATGTAAGGAAACACCAAACTAAATATACTTAGTTTAACCCTATTGTAGTTTAACAAATTACAGTTTAACAGATATTTCAAATTTACAGATACTACAATTTAAATATACTGAAGTTTAGTATACTTTACTAAATATACTAAGTTTAACCCTATTGTAATTTAACAAATTATAATTTAACAGATATTACAAATTTAACAGATATTTAAATCTGTTGTATGAGTTTATAATCTAACAGGGAAATGCAGGTTTCTTTTGGCTTTGTATTATGATTGTTTATTTGCATAAGTGTATTAGTTTAGGTTGCGTTATGCTGTAGTAACATACACAATCAAAATCTTAGTGGTTTAACACAGTAAAAACCCTTGTTTAAACAGTTTGCCTGAGGGCTTGTTGGCTCTAAGAAGATTGATCTCCCTGTCCAGGATAATTTGGCCCTGAGGGCTTCTGTCTTTGGGCAATGCTTAGGATTCAGGAGAGCAAAAGATGGCTGAAGTCAAACACTGACAAATAATGCTTTTGCATGGGAATGACATGTCATTTTCATTTGTATGTCATTGGCTAAACTTAGGGACATGGCTGGGCCAACTCAAATGAGGGAAGAGGGTCTGAGTTCCTCTGTGAAATCAGTGGGATCCTCCACAAACTCAGAAGCAAAAGAGCTAATATGGTGGCTAATAGTATTGTCCACAACAAAGTAGCATAATATAGATAGATACAAAGTACCCCTGGAACCCAAAGGAGAAGAAAAAGAAACTGATTAGATGCAAGAAAAGTCACAGGAGGCTTCATAAAGATGGTGACAAATGATCCAAATATAAGGGGATGAGTAGGAATCTTAGGTTTGAAGAGAAGAAAGGGCATTCAAATTGAGGGACTAGGACCATCCTAGAGAAGAGTGGATGATATAGCCAGAAAGGAGGAATGGATTAGATCACACAAGGCCTTGAATTCATTTAGCATTCATTCAGCAACAATGTATGGCACAGCTACTCTGTGTCAGTCACTGCTCCCAAGTTCTAGGAATATCTGATAATGAACAAAACAGACAAAAATCCTTGTCCTCCTGAAGGTTACATCTGGTTGATGCTAAGAAATTACTCTTTAATTATAAGTAGATTGAGGAGTAAGAGTAACATAAGCAAAGGTACAAACTTTGGATGCCTATGAATCTTAAGATTCTTTTAATATTCCTATTTTATGTGTAATAGAAGACAGTTGACTTGGATGTAAGTTAATGTTTTCTCCATTTAACTGTCTCACGCTAGAAAACTTAATGTATGAAAAGCTGAATTTACAAAACATGTAAATTAGAAAATACATTTACATTACACAAGCTTTTTTTAAACCAAATTGTGGCTAGTACAATTTTAGTGACTGTATTTTTGTTGTGTAAATAGTGAAACCACTTGATACATGTCCCTCGCGGGACAGGACTTTGTTTTATATACTGCTGTGTTCTAGTTCCTAAATTATATTCTCTTTGGATTTCTCACTAAGTAGTGATGTGGCAGTGAATAAATCACAAAAGTATCCTCATCTGGTGAAGGATCATATGTGCTGGTGCATTTAATAGCTATGGAAAAGTTACATTCTTTATGATTATAAGGCAGCCTTGTTACTCCTATTTTATGTTACAACCACATACAAAAAATACCTCATTTCCTTCTGAACACCCACTTCAACCCTTGATGATATTTTTCTTCTTGGCATTTGCTTGTTTTCCTCATAAATTTATATCGTGGGCAAATTCCTTTAAAGTGCTAGATACGTTAGGATTAAAATTAAAGCAGTGGTGTTTTGTTTCTTCAACTAGGGGCTCTTAAAACTTGGCAGGTACCATGTGTTCTCTCATTTCCTTATTTTTATGTATGTTATATTGTAGCACACGTCACATGGAGATGGGCGGCAAGAAGTTACCTCTCGCACTGGGCGCTCTGGAGCTCGGTGTAGAAACTCTATAGCTTCCTGTGCAGATGAACAACCTCACATCGGAAACTACAGACTGTTGAAAACAATCGGCAAGGGGAATTTTGCAAAAGTGAAATTGGCAAGACACATCCTTACAGGAAGAGAGGTAAATATTAAGTTTAATTTCTGTTATGATACTTGCTTTGTTCAGTTCCATGTGAGAGAGGAAGAGAATGTATATATTACTTGAGCGAATTTCTGAGCTAATTAAATATTGTTTTTAAGAACAAGAAACTTACATACTAATTTTCTGGGAGTTCCTTTGCTTTCTCATGTCTTTAAATGTAGTATTACATTTAGTGTTCGAATTGGCTTTTGCCAAAGTGGGTAGTGTTTTGTTCTAAGAACTGCCACCAGATTAATATTCTTTCTGCCAACAGAATAAAAATTGTTTGGAACTTAATGTATAAGCTCACAGTACTTGGAAATCATGAGTGTTGTCTGTTTTTATAGATTTTATGACCAAGAAGTTTCTTCATTTCACCAAAGAAACTTTTCTCATAGCCTAGGTTTGATTGGCTGTTGTACAGGAAGGCATATGCTTTCCTAACTTTTGTGATGATCGGCTTTCTGCTCAACTGCATTCTGTATTTATCAAAAATACACCTGTTAAAACTCCTGAATTGACTCCCTCCACATGTTCCACATGTGCAATACAGAACCTGTTTTGCTTCTTTGACTTCTTGCATTTAGGTCTCTATGCCTGCTATTTCCTCTGCCTGAAATGCACTTCACACTTTTGTGTAGCAACCACTTCTTCTGGGAAGGAGTCGTTGATGGACTCCCTTTTCCCAGGTATGGGACTCAGGTTAAAATTCTTGGTATTTCCCCTCAGATAGCACAGTTTACATTTATGGGAACTGCTTATTTACCCATCTTCCCTCTCTGGTCTGCAGGGCAGATAGCCGTACTTAACAGCGTTTGGCACATAGTAGGTGCTTAGTAAATATATGTTGAATGATATTAATGATACTTCATTATTTTATTTTATTTTTTTTAATGTTTGTTTATTTTTGAGAGAGAGAGAGAGAGAGAGACAGAATGTGAGCGGGGGAGGGGCAGAGAGAGAGGGAGACACAGAATCCGAAGAAGTGGGCTTCAGGCTCTGAGCTGTCAGCAGAGAGCCCAATGTGGGGCTGGAACTCGTGAACCATGAGATAATGACCTGAGCTGAAGTTGGACGCTTAACCGACTGAGCCACCCAGGTGCCCCTGTAATGATACTTTTGAAGGAAGCTTTTTAAAGAAATGCTTTCCCTGTACCAGAGCCTCCTGATAGATATGCCATGACAGCATTACCGACGTGTCATGGCATTGATGCCCGCAGCCCACCATGCCCGGGGCTGCTGGAGCAGGGTCAGGGGCCAGTCATTCATCTGGAAGCAGCCTCTGCTGCAGGGTGCCCTCCAGATATTCCTGTTTTCCATGAGTGCTGGGAGCTGAAGAAGGCTGGAAGCCCAGGTCCACACTAACTGGAATATTAAGTACAGACTTGAACCAAAAGTTTGCCTGTTCACGTTCCATCTCAACTTGGTGACAAATCCATGGTCAGTACTCCTTGTTATGAAGATCCCTGGGCTGCTTTTCGAGTCCATGAACAGCATGAGCGGAGGAGGGTCTTGCCTTGCTGTCCCTGAGCAGAGCTTTCTGAAACTCAAGACTTCTTGAGTTTAGTCCCCACAATTCTAGGTGGTTGCTTGGCCAGTTTCCTCACACGGGCAGATGGTGGGTTGGAAGAGGAATGGGCCAGACAGACCCTCTCACTTTTTCCTTAGCTGTAGTTTGGCCTACTGTATTTACATCTGGTAGGTTCTCTTGCCAAAAAAGCTTGAATCTGACTAGCAGAGTGACTTAATTTAAAGTTTTCCTTTTTCTTCTTTTTTTTTTTTTTTTAAACTTTGAATTAAACTATTTTAGGGGCGCCTGGGTGGCTCAGTAGGTTGAGCGACCGACTTCGGCTCAGGTCATGATCTCACGGTTTGTGAGTTCAAGCCCCCACGTCGGGCTCTGTGCTGACAGCTCAGAGCCCGGAGCCCGCTTTGGATTCTGTGTCTCCCTCTCTCTCTGCCCCTCCCCCTCTCATGCTCTATCTCTCTGTGTCTCGGAAATAAATAAACGTTAAAAAAAAATTAAAAGAAATAAACTGTTTTACTCGATCCCCACCCCCTTACTGTAGGTATCACCCAGAATCCTAGAAAATGTAATATTTATATTTCTATAGTCTGGAAATTCATTATGTAGGAAGTACAAGTTCCTTGAAATTTCTCTTCTCAAAGAGGATCACTTGTTTGGTGTAGATTCTCACAGTATTTTATATAGATACTAATTTTTTGTTTATTTTAACAAAAAGAGACTCATGGATATAATGGTAACTTTTTTTTTTTTTTAATAATGGTAACTTTCTTAGCAACATATCTGATTGTGTCTGGATCTCAGTGCTCATAGATCTGACACATTCTATCTTACACGTGTGTGCTGTTGCTGTGGTTTATCCCTGTCAGTGGGCCTTGAGTGGTTTCTGATTTTTTGCTACTGTAAGCATCTGCAGTGAAAGTTTCTTAACTCTCTACTCTGCTTAAGTGTTTCTGTGGGATAAATTCCTACAAGTGGATATCCAGGTCAAAAAGGATGAATATTTGATATTGTAATAGGTACTGGTGAATTGCTTTTGAGAAAATTTTACAGCATTTTATTATCCTATCAAAGTGAATGAAAGTATCCATTTTTCTGCACCCTTACTAATACTACATAGATCATTTTTATCTGATGGACAAAAAAAAAATGTATTTTTTTTGCAAGCTTCTTTTTGGTAACAGATTGATATTTTCATGTATTTTTGTCATTCATATTTTCTTTTTAAAATAAGTTTCCTATTTGTGTCCTTTATCCATTTTTCTTTTCCCATTTAAATCTTAATGATTTAAACCCGTTATGTGTTTCATACATCAGTCTGATCTGAGTTTCATGTCTAATCTGAGTTTCATGACTTGGTAAGAAAGGTTTAGTTACTTTGCCCCAAGATGTAAAAAATGGCTCTGTATCTTCTTCAAATAGTCCTGTGGATCCCATTTGAATGTTTAATTCATTTGGTATATATTTTGGGGGATTGGTATGAAGTGTAGGGCTTTAGTTTTTCTTCCCCCATGTGGTTTATCACTTGTCCTGGGATCATCTGTTCTTTCCCCCAGTTGAAGATACCTGCTTTATCACTTACCAAATTCCTGTATATGTCTTTTGGTTAATGTCTGATCTATTTATTTAGTCTTGTACCCATACTACGGTAATTTTATTATGGCAGCTTTGAATTGTACGTTTTGATGTTTTAGAGTAGGTTAAGTGCTCTGAGGATTATTCTTTTTTTTTTTTTTTAAATTTTTTATTTTTTTTAAATTTACATCCAAATTAGGTAGCATATAGTACAACAGTGATTTCAAGATTAGATTCCTTAGTGCCCCTGACCCATTTAGCCCATCCCCCCATCACAACCCCTCCCATAACCCTCAGTTTGTTCTCCATATTTATGAGTCTCTTCTGTTTTGTTCCCCTCCCTGTTTTTTTATTATTTTTGTTTCCCTTCCCTTATGTTCATCTGTTTTGTCTCTTGAAGTCCTCATATGAGTGAAGTCATATGATTTTTGTCTTTCTCTGACTGGCTAATTTCACTTAGCATAATACCCTCCGGTTCCATCCACCTAGTTGCAAATGGCAAGATTTCATTCTTTTTGATTGTCAAGTAATACTCCATTGTATATATATACCACATCTTCTTTATCCATTCATCCATTGGTGGACATTTAGGCCCTTTCCATACTTTGGCTATTATTGATAGTGCTGCTGTAAACATGGGGGTGCCTGTGTGCCTTCGAAACAGCACACCTGTATCCCGTGGATAAATGCCTAGTAGTGCAATTGTTGGGTTGTAGGGTAGTTCTATTTTTAGTTTTTTGAGGAACCTCCATACTGTTTTCCAGAGTGGCTGCACCATCTTGCATTCCCACGGATTATTATTTTTTAAAAACTTCATATCTCTTCTTGCCATTTGCTGTGTTAAATGAACTTTAGAATCAAGATGCCATGTTCCAAAAATAGTCTTAGTGGAAATTCGGTAAGATCAATTTTGATAGGAATTAACTGAATTTGTAAGCTGATCTGGGGGAAATTTGCTATTTTATGATACCAAACCTTTCTATACAGGAATATGAAATGTGTCTCAATTTTGTTTTCAGAGTTTGTAATTTTTTTCATCTAAGTTTTTGCATAATTCTTTTTCAAGGGGGTTAGAAATAAATTTTATTGAGTAGGTGAATAGTTTTACATAATTCTTAAGTTCATTCCAGGGTATTTAAAATTTTTTTTGCTGTTGTGAATGGAATTTTTTCCTTAGTTGTTAAGGAAATGCTGTAACATTTGTATAACATCTTGTATCTGGGCACCTTTTGAACTCTCTTTTGGACATCAAAATTAAGCAAGTTTTTGCTGTTTTTTAAATTATACATCTTTTTCCTTTGACGTACAGTCTTCTGAATTGTAACAGTTGTATAGATTTATGTTGCCACCATGTAATGAAGATACAGAAGGGTAGCTACATGGAGCTGTCAGGCCAAACTGTTTTTTAAAGGATGGGCAAAATACCAACATGTTTATCAGTTAATGGGGATAATCTGACAGAAAGGGAAGATGGTGCTATCAGAGAGATATTTGAGTGAATGAGAGGAGATGGTGGAGGCGTTGGCCTTGATGTGGACAGTTGTTCCATAGAAACAGGAGAAAGATAGAGGATACTCATATAGGTACAGGTGAGGGGCTCTGTATGGTGGTATGGGAGCCTGTGGAAGTTTTCTTCTCATCACAGCTATTTTTTCAGTAAAATGGAAAGCAAAATCATCAGCTAAGAGTGTGATTATCAAGGAGACAGGAGGTGTTAGACATGTGAGAGGTTATAGTAATTACCAGGCAAGCAGGAGAGTGAACGGACTAGAAGAATTGCCAGGCAGCCTTAAGGCTTCCCTGAAGTTAGCAATCATGGATTCAAAGTGGGAATAGGCACCATGGCTGGAAGTTACTCTCCAGCAACATCCAGGTACCCCAGACACAAGCCTGGCATTTG